TACAATTAAAAATATAAACAAACAAACAAAAAACCCCACAATTACAATACCATGTGATGAATGTCATAAAAGTGTTTTAGGTGCCAGAGAGGAGAAACTAAAGACAACTTGGAGAAGTAATATTTGAGTTGGGTCTTAAAGGTTAAAAAGGAGTCATCCAGACAAAAGAGAAACCTGTAAATGCAAAGGCACAGAGGTATATAGAACGTAAGTTTGCAGGAAATAGGAAAGAGAGTAGCAGGAGGAGATAAAGCAGGATATGTAAGTTATGGCAGGGCTTGACCTTACTAGAAATAGGAAAGACATAACCATGCATGCAAGTTATCACATGAACAAACACTTATTAAGTACCTACTGCCAGCCAAGAAATGTGTTCCATGCTGGAAATATAGTAGATAATAAAAGAGGCAGAACTTGTGTTTGGGTAGCTTACACATTTTGGAGAGATAAGGCAATCAAATAGTGTGAATAAAAGTTCAGGATGCTTGTGTCCTGGAACAAGGAGACCTGTCTACAGAATAAGCTTCCTTAAGGAGTAAAGGAAGATTCTGAGCAAAGAGCTGAAGGAGGTATAGGAAAAGGGGAAGACATGGGCAGAGGCTCCAAGACAAGCAGAATTGAGCTTTGGAAGAAAGAAGCTTGCTCTAGGTGGAGAAGTGGTACAAGATGAAGCTGGAGAGGTAGCCACCCCTGGTATCTTGGCCTTAGATTTTAAGAAATTACACCAACTGAACTGTTGACAGCAGGTGAGGCACTGGCCACAGGAGACGCAAAAAAGCCAGCTAGGGGGTCCAGGTGTCCAGGTGAGGCAGACAGATGGACTGGTTGGTGGCAGCAGAGAAGGGGATTAAGATGTGAACAAAAGGCATGGTCAGTTAAAGGTTAACTGTTATTAGAAGTAGGAAGGAGAGGAAAGATAATGCTTTCACACCAAGTTTACTTTCAAAGAGGGATACTTAGCACAATATTTTTCTAATCAGTGGTTGCATTAGCATCATCCTGCCTCCTCCCACTGGCAATAAACTGTACTACTTGTCTCACTACAAGGAAGTCCAGCATTCATCCTGCTGGTGGTCACTGAGCCTCCATGAAGCAAATAAAGGCTTCTTGTTTGGGGTTGTACAGTTAAATAAACTAAGTCAAAGGCAAATGACAAACTGAGAAAAATCATTTGCAACATATAACATACAGAGCATTAATAGCCTCAACAAGTTCTTACAGACCAATAAAAATAGACACTTTAAACTAGAAATACTATAAAAATTTGCAGTTTACAAATATGTATATCATCAGGATATTTGCAGCACCATGGTTTACCACAGTGAAAATAAAATGTTGCATGCAACCTAAATGAGCAATAAATCAGAGAATGAACACTTAATGAAATCCTGTGCAGTCATTAAAAATGGTCATATGAACCCCCAAATGGCCAAAACAATCTTGAAAAATGATAACTAAGTCAGAAGTCTCACACTTTCTGATTTCAAAACTTACTACAAAGCTATGGTAATGAAAAGAGTGTGATAATAGCATAAAGACAAACATGTAGACCAATGCAATAGAAAAGAGGACCCAGAAATAAACCCCTACTTTTATGATCAAATGATTTTTGATAAGAGAGCCAAGACCATTCAATGGCAGAAAAGACAGGCCTTTCAATGGGTGATGCTGAGACAACTAGATATCCACCTATAAAAGAATGAAGTTAGACTCTTACTTTAACCCATATATAAATATTAAGTCAAAAGGGATCAGGGACCTAAATTTAAGAGCTAAATATATAAAACTCTTAGAAGAAAAAAAGCATCATGACATTGGATTCAGCAATGGCTTCTTGGCTATGACATCAAAACCACAGGCAACAAAAGAAGAAGTAGACAAATTGGCTACATCAAAATTAAAAACATGTGTGTGTCAAAGGACACTATCAAGAGAATGAAAAGGCAATCCCCAGAATGAAAGAAATATTTGCAAATCATGTATCTAATGAGAGATTAATATCCAGAATACATAGAGAACTCCTACAACTCAAAAACAAAAACCACCATAAACAATCCAATTAAAAAATGGGCAAAGGGCATAAACAGGCATTTCTCCAAAGAAGATGTACAAATTGCCAAGAAGCACATGAAAAGATACTCAACATCACTACTTACTAGGGAAACACAAATCAAAACCACAATGAGGTATTACTTCATATCTATTAGGATGGCCATAATCAAATTAACAGAAAATAAATGTTAGCAAGGTTATGGAGAAAGTGGAACCCTCTTGTGCACTGTTGGCGAGAACATAGAGTTGTACAGTTGCTGTGGAAAACTGTCTGGCAGTTTCTCAAAAATATTAAACATAGAATTATCAAATGATCCAATAATTCTACTTCTAGATTAGGTATATACCCAAAGAAATGAAAGCAGGGACTCAACCAGATATTTTTACACTGATGTTCATAGCAGCTTATTCATTCACAACAAAGCTGGAAACAACCTAACTACCCAACTACTTCATTGACAAATGAATGGATAAACAAAATGTATATATTTTTATAGGTACAGTCATATGCTACTTAATGACAGGGATATATTCTGAGAAATGTATCCTTAGGTGATGCTGTCATTGTGCGAGCATCACAGTGTACTTACACAAACCTAGGTGGTACAGCCTACTACTATAACTATATGTGCTTTACCTTTATATAACTGGAAGCACAGGTTTGTTTACATCAGCATCACTACAAAATAAGTGAGAAATGTGTTGTGCCAAGACATGAGTATGGCTATGACATGACTAAATAAGAGGAATTATTCAGCTCCATTATAATCTTACGGGACCATCACCATATATAGTCCAAAGCTGATCAAAATGTCATTGTGGTACATGACCATATATTTATATATTAAATACACATTTATTTATTTACTGGTGGTTACCAAATATATATTAGTAGAACAGTGACAGCCAGGGATTTGGGAAAGGAATAATGAGTAATTATCCTTTAATGGGTAGAGTTTCAGTTTGGAATGATGAGAAAGTTCTGGAGATGGATGGCGATGAAGGTTGCACAACAATGTGAATGTACTTAATGTAACTAAATTATATACTTGAAAATAGTTAAAATGGTAAGTTTTATGTTATGTATAGTTTACCACAGTAAAACAAAGTTTTTAAAAATGGTGATTATGTGTTTTTTTAAAATATAGTAATCTCTCATTTTTAAAGATTTTATTTATTTATTTTTAGAGAGGGAAGGGAGGAAGAAAGAGAGAGAGAGAGAGAGAGAGAGAGAGAGAGAGAGAGAGAAACATCAATGTGCAGTTGCTGGGGGCTGTGGCCTGCAACCCAGGCATGTGCCCTGACTGGGAATCAAGCCTGCAATGCTTTGGTTTGCAGCCCACGCTCAATCCACTGAGCTACACCAGCCAGGGCTTTGATCATGTGTTTTTAAAGGATTTCTGTACTATGTAAGGTGGGAAAATATAGGTTATTACAAAATTATACAGTATGATCACTTTTTTTAAAAAAACAAAGTTCTTGCCCACATGAGCCCAAGAAAGGCTTTGCTTTTCATCTTGGGGCCAGAACTGTGTTTTCCACCTGTGACAGAGGCTGGGGATCTGAGTATTTAGCTTTCTTCACTCCATAGGAAAGGAAGGCTACAGCTGACAGACTAGGCCACTACCATACCAAAGAAGGAGGACTCAAAACCTGCTGTGTTCCTTTCCTTTTGTACCAATTAGAAAGTGTGGCTAGCCACATCTGCTCAAGTCCACAAAGAATGCAATCTACTGTGACATTTCCCAAGATTTATACCACTACTAAGTGAAAAGCCAGAAAGTTACCACCTAATACAATATTGTTTGGTCTAAAAATTCCATTTGTTCGAGGCTTTCAGTTTGTGTAAAACTGTCTGCCTACATATCAGCTGTGCTGGGTAAACACTTTAGATTAAGTATGCCTTCAATGGGGTGTACTTAACACAATACCTTTCCTAAATAGATGTTGTATTAGCATAATCTAGTTCACAGTAGTCCAGCACTGTCCTCTGAGGATTAACACAGAGTTGACTGTATTTGTGTCACAAAGAGTGCTATGAAATGCTGACTTAGGAAAAAGACAAAAAGACAACAGACCAGAAAGAACAGTGGGCGGGAAGTCAGAAGAACTGGGTCTAAGTCAGGTTTTGCCACTTGCCACCTGAAATACTCTGTCATTCAACATGTCACTGAATCTGTGTATCAGACTCTGGGCTAAGTATGGTGAGGAAAAGGGAGAATGAAAATGCCAAATACATAAGACAACCTGTCCTCAATAAAAGGTCTTTTATTTGGGCAAGCCCTCTTCTCTTGCACATCTTCAGCTTCTTCACCTATAACTCAAAGACATTACCATTCCCAAAGTGTTATTAAGAAATAGGGCAGGACATTTCAACCTCAGTGCCCTTGACATTTTGGGCCACACAATGCCTTGCTGTGCTGGGAGGGGTGGGGTGGGGGCGGGTAGGCTACCTTGTGCATTGTAGGATATTTAGTGGCATCCCTAGCCTCCACCCACTAGATGCCAGTAGTTCCTAGTCCACTGCTCCCACTCCAGTTATGAGAACCAAAACTATCTATAGACATTACCAAATGTCCCCTGGGGCAAAATTCTCCCCAGTTGAGAACCTCTGAAATAGGGTGATATATATGAAAACATCTAAAAAAACATAAAGCTTTAAATCAAGTCAGTATTAAAATAGATCCATTTATAAGATTATTTCTTTAAAAATCCTTTTAAAAATTTAGTTTCCTTAGGAATGTTTTATTTTCTATTTTTATATATTTTGCCTACTGTTAAATACCCTTCAGGGCTTTTTGGTTAATTTTCTGTACCCAAACAAAGCATCTTCATTAGAACATATTTTTTAAATGTGTCATTGTACTAACATGACAGTCACAGTCAAACATAATTGCCATCTCTACAAAGCAGATGTTTTATCCAAAATCAAAGTACTCTTTGCCTACCTTTTAAGGACAATGGACTGGATCTTGTGAATTCTATATTTGATGGCTTGCGCTGTTTACGAACTTCCAAGTACTCCTTAACTCTCGAATCAATGGTTTCTTTTAACAGTAAACAGACCTCCTAAAGTAAATTAAAAAATTAGGGATAACTTTCTAATTTAATGCAATGCAAAAAAGTCAACATTGTGCACATTAAAAAGTCAACAGTGAACATTTCATTTTGCTTGCTTTTTTAATGAGCTATGAATGCTGAAAGGAAAGTTTTATGTGCTCATGGATAACACTGCAGATGCAAATTTGCTATGAGGTTTGTTGGCTCACTCTGTGATCTGAGACATTCATTTAATTTTCCTCTGCTTTAGTTTCACATTTCTGAAAGGGAGATAAAACACCTCAATGTAAAAATTAGGGTCCCAAGGCGATGAAATCAGTGAGGTACTATGTCAGCAGGAGCCTCAGGGAAGTGCTCACTGGGGCAGCCAGGGGACTGTGGATGAGGGAAGAAGCCAGAAGCCAGGGCATATTCAGAGGGAATCCTGACACCAACCAGTCAATGGGGGCAGCCCCCACGGCTTCACATGGGGGTAGGTACAAAGCACAGTGTCACCAGATCTTCCAATTTGTTTAAGAGCAACCAGAAACTGATATTTTATACAACAATTTCTCATTTTTCAAATGTGGTTCAAAACCTTAAAATCTAAACACCACCATTTATTTGTTTCTGGCCTCAGGTTTACAAATCTATTTTTAAAAGGAATAGCATTGAGTAGTGGGTTGAAAACTGGAAATCAGTAATCTCATTTTCTTACGTATTCTTGTTAATGATACTGTATATGCCCATTTGCTTTTGTGAAAACTGACTATATTCACTTATTAATAGTGAAAATAATTTAAATTATCTTATTTCTCAAAAGTAGATTAATATTTATTAAGCAACAGAAATATGTGGTTTTAATTCAATGCCAACACACCATACTACTAGCAAATTTCTGGAGTTGTCTATTGTTTTATGTATCACTGTTATTTACAAAAAGAAAAATAAAACTTTAAAAGTACAACCACTCACTGGGCAGACACTGTCCACTTTAGCTATACTACCAGAAAAGTATAACTTGATGTAGAAGAGGGAAAAATGCACACAAATCTGAATTTCTCAGATTAACAAGTGATGCAGAAGGACTGATAATTCTGGTTTAATTCCCAAAGACTCTGAAGACAGCTCAGAGTTGCCGAGGTCACCTCAAACCTGTTTCACTGGTTTCCTGCAATGCCATCTCAGGTTGATCTCTTAGAATCTTTATAAATTAAAATAAGAACAAAGTTTTAATTTGCTTCAAAGGGCAATGAGAGCCAAACTTTACTTTTATTGTAAACACATGTACTCCTAAAACAGTACAGAAAACATTTGACTTAACTCAGAAATGTGTTTCCTGATAAAACACAAATACTGGTCCCCTCTCTCCTGCTCTCATTTTGCAGCCCAAGGATGCAGTCAGTGCCTTGTGGAATACAGAGATATCCACTTACAGTTGAGGGTTTTAGCATTGTTCACACAACAGAAAAGGCAGCCTTGCCTCATACTGTTGTTTTAACAATTAAAGAATTTTGCTTCACATGCAGGGTTCAACTATGACTGAGCCTGAAAATATGTGAAAGACATACATGGAAATAGGATTGCTAAAATTTGGCCATAAATGCCCTATAAGGCTAAACCTAAAAATAGTATGACAAAAATAAAGCGAAGGCCATACACATAAACTTTCTCCCTCTAGTTTACGGGCTTTTCTTTGATAAGCCAGGTTTGACAAATGGAAGGCAGGCCATGTGCAATATACTCAAGATACTCTAGTAACTGACCACACCACAGATAACAAAGCATTCTCTTCAGAACCAGAGCAAAGCAAGAAAAGACAAACTCCCAGCTAAGCTGGAGGGGCAGATGAGAAGACCAAAGTTAAAATCATCGAGCAAAAGAGAGTTACATATGGAATCTCTAGGCTAACAGGGGCTCATGTCTGCTTCTTGAAGTTTACAAATGGGAACAGTTTGAGTTCAACTGTTTGGGTACACAGACTACTTTTGCTAGAATCAAAATAAACATGTTTAATACATGTAATTAGTTCCTTTTTCTGAAAAGAAACTGTATATTCTTAAGACTTTTACTATATAAAGTGACTAAAACAGAGTCAAATTGATTGCTCATGAAATCTCAACCATGAGATGATCTAATGACAAAAGAAATGAAAACACTGAGACACTGAACATAGGCTGAAGTCATACACTTTTCCTGACTAGCTCCCCCCAACACACACACACAATTATCCCAGAGCAATTTTAATGTCAGTAAACATATTTTAAAGGAACTTTGAGAGCAAAGCTCGACTTGTTGGCACGACCTTCCCTCTTGCAGCTGCCACTGCAGCAACCTCTGCAGGTCCAATCATGCACCTTTGCTAAGTCATGCCCTGCTGCCCGGATGTAGGTACTAGGTGGAGCAGCACAGCTGCGTGCAGCACCCTGGAAAAATCTAGCCTCATGCTTTGGCTACAAGGTGATTCACATACTCACAGCTTTATTTCAAAGCCTTCCAAATAAACGGACTCTTGGCAGAACTGACTGAGTATCAACAAGAAAAGTCTAAGGCTGAGGTGGTAAAGCTGAGAGAAAATGGAGGAAAATCTGGATTGTAGAATATTGCCAATGTAAGTCAAGTCAGAAGATTTTTGGGTGAGGTCCCCTCAGGTGTATATTAGTCACTTTGGGGAAATGAACTGTTTTGAATTGAATCATGGGGACATGTGTTGGTAGCCCAAAGCTTGGAATTATATACAGGTGAGTTGTAGTAGGAGATGCTGGCCTACTAAATATTAAGTCTTGACCAGAGCAGCATATGGTTATTTACCTAAATGATAAATTCTCCCAGTTTCAGGCCACCAAATTTCTTTTGTGAAATTATGACAGCAAAGTCTTGATAAGTTTATTACCTTCTGATTAAAAATGTATTACCCTATAAATTTTGTTTTGGGGAAATTTTGTTCCCAGTGATCTCCAAAAGCTGATTGAAAAGCTATCACAGTAATAGTATGTGTGTGTGTGTGCATGTGTGTGATTAGCACTAGTGTCTTCTCAATGTACCACCTTTTAATAAACCTTACTTTTATTTCTAGTTCTAAGAAGCTACTGTGACAAAAAATACCATGGACATATGAAGTCTGTATAATATTTTGAAAATTATGTAAAAGCCATTGACTGCCTCACTATCTCTGCTCTCTATCTCTAGTGAGCAAGGATCTGAAGAAGGAAGCAAAGCATCTGATGAGAGCTGATACACTTTCTAACCCTCTACCAAGGCAGTACTTGGGTAGGAGAACAGACACCAAGAGTGACCCAGGCAGCCTCTGGTGGAACCCTTTCATTATAGATGAGGAGGCTGAGGTCCAGAGAGGTCAGACATCATGCTCCCCGTCCAACAGCTATTCACTTTACTGACTGACCATCTAAGTAGTGATTGAGTGACCAACTAGTGACTTACTCTCGAGTAAGTAAGGTGAGAGAGGGGACACTGTCAAACATCTCTGCACTTGTTGTCACAGACTCATGCTGATAAAAGGATGATGGAAGATAAAAGTGCATAAGACTGGGATTTCACACAGGTGTGACAGATCAGCCTTGTGTGAACCCCCACACCTGCTCCAGGTACTTGGTCTATCCTTCACAACCAGTCAGATTAAAATCCCTGCTTACCTGCAACAGTCACTATAATTTTTTTTTAATATGGAGTACTTCTTACCCCAAACAAAGAGGTAGGAAATTTCTGATTTAAATAATAGAGTAGCATATGAAATGTGTGAATTCATCAGTTTCTGAAGAAAAAAAAAGTAGGTGTGTATCTGTCACTGGGAAGATAACAACTATTTTTTAAGGGTTAAATATTACTCAATATTCTTGCCCACTAATTAAAATGAAAACTTGTAAAGCTAATATTTCTTCTAGCAGTAGCCACTTGCATTTAAATAGTGAAAATTTTTGTGGTACCTCTTTGTTCTGTTCAGAAAACCAGCTGGTATCTTTGTTTGAACCTTGTGGCAAAACATGAAGATCCACCAGGACAGCAAAATCCCCACACTGAAAGACATTAATGGCAGAGTTAGCTCACGCCCAGCAAACAATGAGATAAAATCTCACAAATTCCTATGTGGTTGCTCATGAAATGGCAACAAAGTTCACTACTAGACACAAATGTTCACAGGGGTCAGGACTACAAGTCATAACATACTACTCTTTGAAAATTTAATAGTTATGGCAGGAATACTAGGGAAAAACATCATTTAAATCAGAATAGACAAGACAAAATATTTATCTCTGGGCCAGCCATACCTTGAAAGGGGATGCCCAGGCATCCAGAGGCAGTTGGAAGACTATCAAACACCAGAGAAGGAAAGTAGGTCAGAGCTAGATAAGCTCCAGAAAAGAATGATTCAGTGGACAGTCAGGGGAATTCTTTCTCCTAGGTAGGAGAGAATATATAAGCTACTGCATTTGTAGACAGACAAAAAGATTGTCTGGGACAACACATCTTAGAATAGGAACAGAAGCACGAACAAATGAAAAGAACCAACGAGAGGAAGGCAGATGTTGAATGACAGTTATTAAAACTATGTGAGTTTCATTCATTAAGATACACTGTAAAATAACACAAGGCCTGCCTTCTTTCTTACTCTATAGGCTAGTGCTGTCTAGCACTTTTGAAAAAATGTAAATACTATATATACATACCAGTTAACAGGGTAGCCAATAGCCATATGTGGTCACTAAACACTTGAAATGTGATTGTGACCCAGAAGCTAAATTTTAAAATTTTATTTAGTTACAATTTAAACAGTCACACATGGCTAGCAGCTCTGTGGTATAGCTACAGACTCTGTAAAAAGCTACAGACATATAAATTCTCAACCTTTGAGTGAAGTAATTTCTGAGACTCTTAGGATAGCTGTGGAAGACCTAACTTAGAAAGGACTAGAAGACCAAGAACACAGGTTGAAGGTGGTCTAAGAGGCCCAGAGGTTCTGTCTATGGCTGACAAGAAAAAGTCACTTGTACACCTCTTTGGCTGAACATTTTTTCCCATTTTAAATTCTGTGTTATAATTCAATGGTGAAAAAGTATTTTCAACTAATGGTCTGAGAATACCAAGTATAAATATGGAAAGAAAATAAAACTTGACACCTAACTCACGCCATACACAAAAATTATTTTGAGATGGATCATTGACACAAACATAAAAACCAACAATCTTCCTGACTTGGAGTAGGAAAAGATTTCTTAGATAGGACCCCAACCCAGAAAGCACTAAATATGGAAAAAAAAATGGTTCAACTAGAATGGGGAGAAAATACGGACAACTGTAATTTAACAACAATAAAATAATTTAAATAAAAAAATGGTTCGATTAGACTTTGTCCAAATTTAGAACTTTTGCTCATCAAAATACACCATTAACAAAATGAATATGTATATCATAGAATGGGAGAAAATATTCATAAATACCTATGTATCTGACATAAAGGATGGGCATATTTTGGATACAAATAGATATAAAAACCCCAAACTTGAGCAGACACTTCACAAATAAGGTCAACAAATACCTAATAAACACATGAAAACAGTGTTCAACATCACCCATTGGCAAATGTAAATTAAAAGCACCAAGAGATACAACTACATACCTACCAGAGTGACTACAATTAGAAAGACAGACACACCAAATATCGGTAATGATGTGAAGCAATCTAAACTCTCACACATTGCTAGTGAAAATATAAAATGGTCAGCCACTCTGGCAAATGGTTGGTCAATTTGCTATAATCAGTTTCCTATAATCATACATTTATTTACTGACTAAGCCAGCAATTCCATTTCATGTATTCACCAAGAAAAATAAAACACATGTGCCCACACGCGTGCCCCCCAAAACTTGGAAGCAAATGTTCAAATAAGTTTTATTTATAGCAGCCCACATGGAAGACAATCCAAGTCTATCTACAGGAGTATATTCATTCAGTGGATATATTTGTTCATTCAACTAGACTATGATACACTTCAACATGGACTAATCTCTAAAACACGTTAAGCAAAAGAGGCCAACCTAAAATGGTACATAAGTGTATGTTTCCATTTACATAAAGTTCTAGAACAGCAAAATTAATCTATGGTCAAAGCAATCAGAAGGGTGATTGCCATAAAATACACATAATACACAAACACATAATAAAATACATTAAAAAAAAAAAGACACAGTGATTGCCTAGATAGGAACTGACAGAGAACGGGTACATGAGAACTTTGTTAAATGCCTTGATACGGTATGTGCCTAAGAGATCAGTCCCTTTGCTTTTCTAGGAATAATACATCAATAGTAAACTATTTTTAAGTGCTGAGTAAAAAATGTTCATATATGTTGTTATTTAAAATATAAGTATTATATCCCTGAAAATGTGTGGGTATTTTGGGGGAGACAAAAGTGAAGTTCACTGGGAAATAAATCATAAGGAACAAGGAAAGATGATCTCCGCTGATGTCAAACGGTGCAGCATGGCTTACTGAACTGCCGCTGCAGGTTAGTGTGTCGCAATAGTTTTATTTTAATGAAAGAGAATTAAAGAGAATACTAAATGGGATTAAAAAACATCAATGGGCCAAATGGAAAAGTTAAGTAGTGTTTTGTGAAACTTCTGTATGAGTGTACTGAGTAATAACGTAAAGCCTATTTCTTACTGTGGGTTGTGGTCAAAACTGTTTGAAAGCCATATTCAAATATACTGTTATTTAAAAATTTTTCTTCACAACTGTTGATTATAGAGTTAACCTGTAAGGAGTATGCTGCCACCAGGTGGAGGTCTTTTGCCACAACTACCTGCTCTTAGCCAGGAGTTATTAACCTTTCACGTACCATGGATCTCTTCCGCCAGCTGTGAAACTGATAAAATTTGCTTGGAATAATATTCTTAAATGCATGAAACAGAATGAATAGAATTCAAAAGAAAACCAATTTTACTAAAGTATGGTTATCCAAAATTTAAAAATAAACTAGTTTGTGATACAGTAATGTATATACTTGTTTAAGGCATTGGCTCTTGTCACAGAGTTGTGGCCCTAATAACTACTATAAATCCAAAATAGTGCTAAACATAAATGATATATTCAGATATGTGCCACAACTATAATATAATATATGAAGAGATATGATGTCTAGTGGTGACAAATATAGCTAATACTACTGTGTTCTGCATATTTCATAATAAAAATACACTTATTAGAAGTTGGTCAAAATAAAGATGTTAACTTTTTTCCCCACCCAAGTTCACCAACCCTGTGATTTCTATCACAGGCCTGTTGAGGCTCCATGGATTGTAGAACAAGACCCCTCCAAAGCAGTGGGGTGTGCCTTACACACTGCTAGTGGATGTGAAGAGTAATGCAACACACAGTGTACTGGGTTTTCCCATTGGTGTTCAACTCTAACGCCTCAGTCAAAGCAAGTTCTTTGTTATTCCTTCTTCATTAGCAAAAAAAAAAAAAATTTAAATAGAAAAAATAAATAGAAATAGTGATGCTTCCACAATCTAAACTGATACTATATAATAGTAACTTTCTAAAGAATTAAATAGCAAGGTCCAATTTGGTATTTTCTCATCATTTTGTTAAGTTTGATCCTAAACAGACTGATTAGAATGTCTTTTTAATTTTTTAAATAAATCATGAAGTCTTACTCTGGTGCTCAAACCTCCCAGGATTTCTGCCAGATTGCCCTGTGGGCATGCATGCAGTCCCCCTCCCCCACAGCAGGGTTCTCCCTCTGCAGTTAGCAGTTCGCTGGAGCAAGAGCTCTCTGAAACTCCCACACTAATCAGAGGTATTTTGCCTTTCTAAAGTTCCTACTTTCAAAGCTTTGCTGCTTTTCTCCCAGGAGTAAACAGAAGTTAAAAAAAAAAGCCTCTCACTGCTGCTAGTACCACAGCCTCTGCTTCTCCTCCTTAATTAAGCGGAGGTTATTTTTACTCTCAGCAGATACTTCAGGTCTCTTCTGAGAAGAGCAACACACTCCCCACCACTTTTTACACAGGCCCAGTTACCTCTTTAACAGGCCAAAGGCTACTTGAAAAAGCTGCATATCTCATGCCCTGGGGTTGAGAGGCAGGAGGTAGGCCAAGGTCTGGTCCAGCTTCTAGCCCTCTCCACCCAGAGGTTTTGGCCAAAAACCTGGAACTCAACCCTAACTCCTCCCTTTCCCTAACCCTCCATAATCAAATCCCCAAGTCTCTAGATTTTACTTCTTAAAGAACTAAATACATTCCTCTTCTGTTATTATCTGTCACTTGGAATAGGGCTGCTTCTCTTGGTGTCGCAGATGAACTCTCAATGCCCCTGCCAGTGTAATTTCAAACATAAAATGGGAGCAGTGCACTCCTTCTGTGGCTATAACACTCAAGCACCTCAATGCTCCTGTGCTTACCAAATTCCAATGCATCTTTGAACCCTGGCAGGAGTGTGGACATCTCCAGGGAGCTTTTCTGAACAGCCTGTCCCTCCTTCCTCCTGTTCAGGCACATGCTTCATGTGCTTATTTCCATATTAAATGGCTGATCCATGTAGGGGCTTCCCCTACTGCTATTAGCTCCTTGGTGGAGACCAGGTCCATACCTCAGTGGACTCTGCACCCTGGGATTAGCACACTACCAGCTCACAGTAAGTGCTTAACATTAAATGACAGAAAGAAAGAAAAGAACAAATGCTGAAGTTTGGGCAAACCACAGCCTTATCTGCAAACTGAGGGCTCTAAGTTCATTCTGGCAACAAGACCATTCTGATTCAGCAAGCACACTGATGTGTCAAAGAACAACTTCCTCCCTCCCTATTTTGGAGTAGCAACAACTATGTCATCAGCAGTGACAACCACTCATTTTCCAGATTTTGAAAAAGAAAAAAAAAAAAAGGTGTACGAGGATCCTAGGATTACCTCATCCTCAAATCATTGCCAACCAAGCTTTTTTTCCTACTTCTTTCCTAAGAATCCCACAGCTGCAACTTAACTTGAACATTTCCAATTCTCCAGAGGTGGGTGATCT